TTGATTGTGAATAGACACTTTGCAAAGACTGAATGTCATTCTTGGATGCCTTAAATAATCAAACTGTTTCTACAAGTTGTTTTGAGTACCTTTTTTGTCTTTAATGTCTTTTATTGGTTGTATTTATTTTATTTATTTACAAAATTTGTATCCAACCTTTTTGTTGTTACAAGAGCCACCAAGGCAGCTAACAATTTAAAACATACATTTCAAAACCATTAAAATGAGCCCCCCCAAAAAACACACATCATTAAAATAATTAAAAAACAGAGTTAGACACATACAAAGCATAAAAACAGCAATACCATTCCAACACAGAACACTCTTGAATTGAGCAATCCTTTGAAGAAGCATGGTTATTAACTATAGATAACCAGTTGGAAGCATATATTTTTCTGCTTCTCTAAACAGATGAATTCTTAAAGATGTGTGTTTATACCTGTTGGTAAACCATCTTTACCAAATACAGAATCTCCTTGAGAATCTCCTTGAGGTGCCAAGTGATTGCCAGAAGTGAGATGCGTCCTGGTATTGTGTCTTACAGATAATCTTACAAATAGTCCTTTGCATTTATATCATGCTTTCAACTTTAAAAGGATCATAATGCTGATTGTGTGAACTTAGGCGAATCACGAGAGGTAGAGCAGGAAGGGTTGCATCAGTGCTTAGTTCTTGTGGCCCTTTCTTACACACCCAGGGAAATGCTGATCGCCACTTTGGGGCCAGGAAGCAATTTTTCTCCAGGCCAGTTTGGCCCCCAGTGATCCTGGAGGGGTTTTTAAATCATATTTTGGGCATGGAACAGGGGTCACTGGGGTGCGTGTGGGGGTATTGGTGAATTTCCTGCATTGTGCAGGGGGTTGGACTAGATGACCCTGGAGATCCCTTCCCACTCTAAGAGTCTATGATTCTATAATTCACCCAGGCTGGCTGTGGGCACGCCAGCACCTCTGTCAGGCAGAAGCGCCTGAGACCCTTCCCCTCCCCTTTTCCTTCGCCCGACTTGGAGGCGAAGGGAAGAGAGAGGGGGGAAAGAATGGATCCCAGGTGCTTCTGCCTGTCAGAGGGGCTGGTGCACACTTCCAGTGATGTCAGGGGGTGTGGCATATGCTAATAAGTTATGCTAATGAGCTCCTGTAGCTCTTTTTCTATGAAATGACCCCTGGTAGAATTACTGATGAGGAAAGACCCTTCCCCTATCAGAATCATATTGTTAAATGTGCTTCCTGTTTTTACATGACTTATTGTACCAGCAATTCTACAGAGATGAAACAATTTTTAAGATTATAGTCCTGCCGGGGACTTTCCGAGTGTAGAAGAAACAATCGAGGCTTTCTACGGGTCTCCTGGTCATCCACATCCGTGATTTTTCTGACATAATCGAAGGATTAAACTCCCAATTAGATTTCACAGATACGAAAGGTATATCTCAGCAGTAGCTATGGCGTATGTCTCACAGGGGGAGTTCATGAATAATCCAAACATCTTACATAAGACCTTAATTTCCTGTGTGTTCGGGTTTTTTTTATTGTCAAGAATATTTTTACCGTATAGAAATATCGTTGGATTTCTTAAGACATTATTATAAAATGACACAGTCATTTCAACATTTTATACATGTGAATTCATCCCGACAAAATTCCTAGGAGAGAATCTACCTGCAGTACAAAGAGTACAATACTCATACAAAGCTACTGATCAGAAAGGGGGAGGGGGAATTATCCACGGAAAATAATATTTGAAGCTCTGTCATGAACGGGGGGGGGGGGGGGGGGAGAGAAATCCAAGAGACATCTGGAGTAAAAGTTGAAGTTCCAGTTTAAAAAATGTTGCCTGAATATAATTAAACACTCACGGGCCTTTGTATCAGAAAAACAGTAGAACGGTATGGCAAAAACCAAGGGGAAAATGAAATATTTTTATGCGCGAGGGCCACCGACGGATGCCTTGTACCCAACCGAGTATCCCGCTGAGACAGAAAACCAAACACAAACCCACGAAGGAGAGAGTTTTGAAAGGTCTCGGAATAAATTTCCTGATAGCTTTGTTAATCTTCACAGTGCAAGTGAGATTCTGGTCAGGTATTTGACCTGACGTGGATTTCAAGGTGAACGCTTGCATGCTTAAAACTCTAGTCACAGATTCGTGCAGTTTTCAGGAACCCAGGTTAGTTCCCAGTTTTTTTACGGGGCACAACTGCCTTAAATCTGTGCGCTCCAGAAAGATTGGCCTATTACGATAACCCGATAAATACCAATTTAAAAGAAGCATTCCGCTTAAGAATTACTGTACGCGGAGTAAAAATAAAATAATATACCAATTGACTCGGCATATTCTTACACGAATTACATAAGCAGTATACTGTTTTAATGCATTATAAACCCAGCATTTACTCAATATATATACATTTGGTATTTACCAACTACGATTGTTTTAACACATTGATTTGCTTCCAAGATGATTACTTAGGACTGGGTCCTAGTGTTCGCCTGGAAGTAAGTGCTATTCAATTCAATGGGGCTTGGCCCCCGAGAAAAATTTCCCTAGAATTGTAGCCTTGAAGTGCTTAATTCATGATTCTGAGAAGACAATCTAAAGGTTTAGTGGGACTTGCACTCTGCTTCAATGACTATTAAATACTTATTCGTTCCCCTTAAGGAATCGTTTTAAGACCTTACTTCTTTTACCCCCATTTTGGCAGCCCCCGCAGTGCCACCGGAAGCAGAGTAATACTTTTCTAAGCACATTCACTTCGATGGACTTAGACGGGTATTTTATTTTATTTTATTTTTATTTTATTTATTGGGATTTTTACCCCGCCCTCCCCGCAAAGCGGGCTCAGGGCGGCTTACAAGGGGCAAGGGTTATCTCTGCTTAGGATGGCTCCATCAGTTACTCAGGAATGCTCCTTTTTGCTATGGTAATCTTTGAAGAAGACTTTCCCCCCTCTGATCTATACCCCCCTAAAGCAGAGGTAAACAGTTTCTCCTACACTGCCTCACAACCATTGTCTTAGCCACTTTAGTTTCTTCTAAGCCCCACCTACTTCGTGTGGTTGGCCCAGGCTAGCCCAATCGCATCAGATCTCTGAAGCAAAGCAGAACTGACCCTGGTTAATACTTGGATGGGAGACTGCCGAGGAAGTCTAAGCAATGGCAAACCACCTCTAAACACACTTGCCTTGAAAACCTTAAGGGGTCACCCCAACTTAGCTACGACCTGACGGCACTTTCTACCACCACCACGTTTGTGTGGCATGGTGCCCCAAAACAATAAGGGCAATGCTACCAACCGTGGTAAGCGAAGGCGGCAGATTTTGACAATGACGTAGTACCTCATGCTAGATAGTTCACCTGTTCTGAGAGAGAACAACTACAAAAAATGGCACTGCGGAGGTACCATAGACCAGAGCGGGACTCTCTCGGTAGGCTACACGAAAGTTAATTGGCAGAATGGGCCCCAAGGGCCATACAAAAGGGGTCCGACCCTTATTTTACAGGGTTTCTATATGAAATTTAAAAACTGACCCAGCACCTACCTGAATGAATTACATGGGAACTAACCGATCAATTAAACCAATAATTACTGTTTCTGTGTCTTCCCTGCTAGCCGATTCTGCTAGTACTTTGGCTGCAGCTAACAGCTAAATCAGTGGTGGTGGCAGCTTCAAAGCAAGGATGGAAATAGAGGATGGAATTCCCTGCCACAGGAAGTGGTGGCAGCTACAAGCACAGAAAGCTTCAAGAGGGGATTAGATAAACATATGGAGCAGAGGTCCATCAGTGGCCATTAGCCACAAGGTGTAGATGGAACACTACATCTGGGGCTGCAATGCTCTGAATTCTTGGTGCTTGGGGGGCAACAGTGGTAGGGCTTCCGGAGTTCTGGTCCCACTAGGTGGACCTCCTGATGACACCTGGTTTTTGGGTTTTTGGCTACTGTGTGCCACAGAGTGTTGAACTGGTTGGGCCACTGGCCTGATCCAACATGGCTTCTCTTATGCTCTCTTAGCCACAAAGTATAGCTGGAATACTCTGTCTGGATGTCTGGGGCTGTGATGCTCTGCATTCTTGGTATTTGGGGGGGGCAACAGTGGGAGGGATTCTGGAGTTCTGGCCCTGCTGGTGGACCTCTTGATGGCACTTGGGTTTCGGCCACTGTGTGACACAGGGTGTTGGACTGGATGGGCCACTGGCCTGATCCGACATGGTATCTCTTATGTTCTTATGTAAGATGGGTTTCTGTTCAAGACCGCTGGGTCACTGGATTGTCAAATTTTTAAAAAATTAAGAATTACTAAGGAGAAAAACTGGAGAGACAGTCTAATTTCAAATCCCTTTGGATTGGTTCAGACCTCCTTGGTAAATTAAGCACCGGGGGAAGGGGCCTGCCTTTCTCTTTCTTCTTAGGAGGTCGGGAAATGGTAACTTTAAGCTGAATTCTCAGCTCGGTGTGCTCTTTTAGTGCTGATCACAACGCCCGCTTCGGGAGAGGAGATCAAAGTGTAACGCAAGTCTCCTTCGAGGCTTGATTACCCCAATCTCAGCTCTCACTTGGGTCTTGATGCCTGCCAGTCATTCCCCCTGCCTGGGGTAAGCTGCGCTGAGCAAATTCTTGCCCAAACTGCTACAAAGAACCACCGTCCACCCTGAGTGCTTACAGGGTGCATCAAATCGCCATTTTCCCCCGACCGGAAGCCCAGGGGCCTGCCTTTCTAAAACTGGTGTGCTGGGTAAAATAACATCTCCACAAAGAGTTTAAGAGCCACTATAATACAAGGTTGAAAAAAATAACAGGCATACCTATTGATTCCTTGTGGCTAGCCCAGGCTAGCCCAATCTCATCAATCTCGAGAGCTAAGCAGGGTCACCCCAGGCTAGTATTTGGATGGGAGACCTCCAAGAAATATCAGGGTGGTGATGCAGAGGCAGGCAATGGCAAATCCACCTCTGAACGTCTCTTGCTTTGAAAACCCTACAGGATCACCATAAGTCAGCTGTGACTTGATGGGGGAAAAATTAGTAATAATAATAATAATACCAGGCTGGGGGAAAAAAATAACACACATACATGATTCCTCGAACTATAATACCCAAATGAATTCTGTTACGGCCCACCACGAAACAACTGTCCAACATGTACGAATGGGACTGGTCCTTCCACAACCTATGAAGTGCTACTGTGTTCATTCCTTGTGTAATAATTACAGTGATGACACAGTTACGACCACTGACAACTATGCTCGGTGTGGATGTATTGGATTTTCCTACATTACCTCGTTGGGCTGCTTAGAAAGGCCGTATGTTTGCCCTTGATGCAACTGAGAATTTCATCCTCTGACCCCACAAGGGCAGTAGGCTGGTAGTCTGTGAAGAAAACACATATACACACACACAACTGTATTCCCAAGTGTGCAACTCAACCTAGCAACTCCTATTTATGGAGAGGGAGGGTTCATCCCCATCACCCATTAAATCTGAGAGACCATTACGACGCCTTGAAAACAATTTGGGATGAAGACACACAGAGGCCCAGCGTTCGTGAACTTGCGAGGGCACCCAAAGAATGCCACCGGCTTTCCAAAGACCAAGAGGACATATTTTCCAAACAGTATGTTAACATTTACCCATTCAACATTTGTACATTCAGGAAGTTTTATCCTCTGCTGCGCTTATCTGTCCCAGAACAGCTTTCAGTTAACACATTAACACAACGAATATCAATAAATAAACTAGAGGAAAGCTTTAAAAAAAAATCATTAATATTACATTGTGCAAAAACATGTAATGACCTACATTCTAAGCAAATACCCTGACTAAAATACACGGGCCAAATCCAGAAGACGTTACTCCGTTTCTACAGGACCCCTCTCCTTCCCCCCCAGACAAAACAAGAGAAAATGGCTGCTATCCAATGCACAGTTAAGCGTGCTCAAGCTCCCCAATGCAAAGGGATTTATGTCTGCTCGACAGCATGCCAGATTGCAACCAGTTTGTCCAGGTGTTTGCATGCTGTTGAAGTCCTTGAGACTTTTTTGCCCTCGGTTTTAACGAGGCTATTATTAATGACCTGAATAACGACTTCAGTATTTGGCCCTCTGGATGTGATTTGTGTGACAACTTACACTAATTCACTTAAGTGCCGAAGCAGTATCTGCAAAAGAACATTCGTTTCTTTCCTTGCCGTTCGGTAACAGGTTGAAGCGCTTCGTTCCGAAACTGCCCTTTTAATGGGGGAGAGGAATAGCGTCTGCCATTTAGACAATGAAGTAACTCTTTCAGAATCCATTATAATTTGATTATCCAGCAGGGTTAGTCTTTCTTTTTAAAGATCCAAAACGGGGAGAAAGGCTCACCGGTTCATCATCAATCTCTTTCTTCATTGGGATAAACAGCATTACAGTTCATCAACGATATTCTTTGCTGTGCTCAGGAATGAAACTGTGACGCTTGGCTAGTCAAGGACGTGTCCAGGTAGAGTTGGCACTGCTCCTTCCAACAGGTGTCGACAGCACCCAAGCCCATTTGGAACCTTAAAATTTTGGTTTTTATCTTTTTTCCCTATTTTTTTTCCTTTAGTTTTTTTTTAAAAAACCACAAGGTCAACCGAGTTTAGTAAGCTGTAGATCTCCGTTTATCTTTATCGTGTCAATAGAAGATAACTTCTCGATACGATGGTAGAAATCAAAAAGCTGGTGTCCGTCCACGAATATCCTAAAACGGGGGTGCTCGCAAAGTATTTCGACCTGTAAGAAATAAATGATGAAACAGGATCACAATTTTCGTTGGAAGGAACATGTCACAGGACTCGAATAACACAATTACGGGAACCGTTGTCCATTTTATATTATCTTGTGTACCTATGGGGCAAATGTACCTGATGTGGCAGAACAGTTCTGCTCTGGCCTGCAGGCCCTGTTCCTCCCTGCCCTCCTGGGTTCTCCCAACACCTGGAGGGGCTTTTCTCTCTCTCAGTTCAACCACTGGCACCTCCTGACTTGGGAGGATCAGGACGCCCAGCTTCCCTTCCACGTTCTGAGGCCCTGCTTCTGTGTCTCCCACTATGTAGTCTCTGGTTACCCCGGGACAGCTTGCCACCTTGTGCACCACTGAAGGAGTGGCCACTTGCCAACTGACTGCCCCCCCCTTCCTCCTGGCACATTTTAAAATAGCGCGTCCAAGACGGTGGAGGTGTAAGTGGTACAGAGAACCACTACCAATATCAAAAAGTTATAAAGCATCTATTAAAAAGAAGCTGTTCACAAGTATACTTTTTAGCATAGCACCAGACTGAGTTAGGGAAGAAGAAGAAGAGGAGGAGGAGGAGGAGGAGGAGGAG